GTGTTAATCAGCTGCGCCGAAGCAATTTATATGAAAATGACCGTCACGTGATCAAGAAAGTCATGTGATATCATAACAAATATGTTAATATATAGCCGAGGAAAAACTCTATATATATTGGAAGTACTAAAGTTCAGTACTTATAAATTAAAACCAAAACCGACCTCGCAATGACATATTGTGTTTTGCGCGCATTTTAATGCTTCGGGAAGCCTTAACATAGCTGCCTAAATTTGACCATTTACAAGAAGCATCCGAAGAATTCAGATACTTTTTAAAGAAAAGTAATGGGGTTATATCATTTCTGAAATCGCAATCAATGGATCTCTCACTTCTATGACAATAACACTTAGAGATAGTGAAAAGTTTGATTTTTTTTTTGTTTGTTTGTATGTTGTTTAACGTCCCTCTCGAGAATTTTTCATTCGTATGGAGACGCCACCACTTGCCGGTGGAGAGCTGCAAATTTTGTCCTATACTCGGCACTTACGGCCATTGAGAAGTGAGGGATCTTTTTCGTGCCAGCACCTACTACTACACGGGACCTCGGTTTACACGGTCTCATCCGAAGGACCGGTCGCCACGTCCCACAGTGGGATTCGAACCCGCGACGTAAGGATCAACTCCTTACTCCGCGACTCTAGAGCAGACGCTCTAACCACTGAGCCACGCGGGCTGAAAGGTTTGATTTACTTACTGTTTTTTTCCATTGTGAACAAAAAAATAAAAGAATTAATTCACACACATACCGGAGAGAAAGGGAATAAAATGGTAACTCGTGACAAGAGTAGATTGATTGATTGATTGTATGTTGTTTTACGTCCCATTCGAGAATTTTTCACTCATATAGAGACGTCACCATATACCGGTGAAGGGCTTCAAATTTTGACCTTTACTCGGCACTCACGGCCATGAGCAGTGAGGGATCTTTATCGTGCCAACGCCTGCCGTGACACGGGGCCTCGGTTTTTAAGGTCTCATCCGAAGGACCCGCAACTTTCACTTCGAAGTGCCGAGCGCATGACGAAGGAACAGTTGCTACCCATTTTATCGACTTAGGTCTGTCGCGGCCGAGATTCGAACTCACGACCTCCCGATCACGGAGCGAGCGCTCTACCGACTGAGCTACCGTGAACGGTCGTGACAAGAGTAGAATTTGTAAGAGAAAAGATCGGCAGACTGAGAAAGCTTTATATCATATACCTAGTAGTGTATCAGCCCTGATAGAGGCGTTTCGGACTAGGTGGGACAGCCTCTTGGAACTAGGGCTGTCTCGCCCCCAGGGCTGATATATCTCTGTCTCAGCCCGTTGTCAAGGGGCTGTCTCGCCCTCAAATTTCAATCCATTATCTCTGTTTAATTTGTGTGAATTTTGAGTAAAATTTATATTAAAGTGTTAAAGATAAATAACTAGTCCTGAATATTTAAGAATTATTTATTTATGCTAGAATATTGAGAAAATTGTTTTTAAAAAGTGCGCCAAATGATGGTAGTTGTGACGTAAAAGAGGTAACTCTTGTTATATGTTTTGAACAGAAATGGACGTTAATTTGCTTTGACAGTAAGACAATATCAAGTTTTCTCTTTTTGTGTCATTATTTATTTCAATACATATCGTAAGCAAAACAAACAGTTACTTTAAATCTCAGACCTGTAACGATTTGTTGAACATGTAACCTAGGCCGGTTATCCAAAGTGAAAGTAGAGTTATCAAAAGTTTGGAACCTTTAAATCTCAGCAATGAAATGTGCCCTTGATTGTAACATGTTTTTAAACACCAAGACTCATCTATTGATTTTAATGACCAAATCAGGCAAATCCTCACTTTACCTTTGTTAAGCAACATCTTTACCTATCTCAAGATCGATAAACATGGAAAATAAAGAACGATAATCATTTTAATTTAATACAACATTTTGTTGGAAAAAGTCTTGATATCTTTGGTTTTAGATATGATATAAACAACATCACACCAGTATTTTGATCTCATTCCTGGTATCAGCCCTCGGATGGTCTCCCCCCCCCCCCCCCCGGGCTTGGGCCGATACCAACCGCTCGGGCTAATACCAGGGCCGAGATCAAAACAGCAGTGTGATATTCTACATATCCCATTTTCCCAGAAACACTTATCATCATTTGTCTTCAAAAGATAACATTCATTATTTAAATCTGGCATGTTACTTTGAGCTGATTGCAGCAATTCCAGATTATGTTTTAAAAAGTCTTGTGTCCTGAGCTTGGGATGATGCCTCAATTGTCAAGAAAGCTGGATGGGTCATTGTTAAGAAAGCTGGATGGGTCAACTTTGAACAGCCTAAACATTCACAAGTTTTCTCACAAACATCACAACATTTCTGATTCTTTTCAAAAATGTAACTATATACACTGTATTTTTTACACAGAATGCTTCTGCAATGATTATATGTCATGATCAGTGAGGGTCAATTTTTAACTAACGTATTATGAAAGCCCTTACCCGATTGGCTAGATAGTGAAGTGAAAATACAGAACATCTGCTAGGTTTCGCCACTGACAGCCACGGTTTTAGTGGCGTAATCTGTCAAGGGCTTGTGGTGAGCGAAGTGGGCTTTCAAAGATAGATAATTTCCAACTAACTGAAATACCTTGTCCTTTTTATACTAATTTTTATTTTTTCTAACAAGTTAATGAGATACACCCTAGCCCTATATAATCTTCTAGCCTTTTTCACTGGAATTTTTCTGGTATTTCTCCAAGCAGTCAACTGATAAAGGAATCCATTTATCATTACTTTGTTTATCATCCCTCCTTTATTTTGATTGTGTGCAATCCCGACACTGCTTCACGTTTTACTGGAAAACACCACCCGCTTAATTGTCTGGCATGTCTGATGAAACCATTAGCTACAAATGCAGCATTCAATCATTCTCTCCTCTCCGTTGTCCGGTGACCGGCAAATGCAGTAAAGTGAAACTGTGATTGACTTTCTATTGTTTGTTCATGTGGATTGAAGGTGAGCATAGGGAATGGTGATATTTCCTTCTCTTCAATGCATCTATGTAGATGTTTTCTCATAGCTCTTCTGGTCAGATTGATGTTGCTGCTGCTTTTGCAAACAGTCCACAGTCCATTGCACCGTTCTGTTTTTGAAATGTTTTGTTCTCTGGCTTCAAAGTACTTGCGATTTGCATTTTTGACCAGCTTGACACGGAAGAGTACAGGTTTTGATATATATATATATATATATATATATATATATATATATATATATATATATATATATATATATATACATATGTGTGTAGGACTACAATGTGCGATCAATTAGCGTGATGGTCACGCTAAAGTCCGATTGTCAGCGCCAAACCCTGATGGTTTGACATGCCAAAAGCCGATGGTGCGAAAAAACAATTAAGACTTATGACTTAAAAGTACTGCTGCGCCATATTGCTAATTTAAACTGATAGGCGCGGAACTAACCTTAATCGGTCGAAAAGTGTGAAACAGCTATAACCTAGATATCTTGGGTGGGAGCGAGACTAAACCTAATCAATCGAATAGTGTTCGAGAACTAATAAAAATCTCTGGTGGAGCGAAGCTATTCCATAATCAGTCTAATAGCGTACTAGGACTAACCTTAATCAGTCGAGTAGTGTGCGAAGACCAAGTCTAACCCTAATATCTCTGGAAGTTTCAAGTAATAAACCAATCAGTAAAATTGAAGATGCGAGGACGAATGCCGAAATGATGGCTTTTTAATGCAGGACAACAGCGTCAAGGATTGACGTCGGATTATTGGGACGTTAGAGTTTCTCCGCACTTTGGACTTTGTCAGACCATCGCACTTTTGCGCAGCACGTCTCATAGGAAGTAAGCTTGTTTTTAAATTTTAAAATTGATAATTTTAACATAACCTTCATCATCCACCGAAGAACTAAAAACAGGATAAAATAAGAAGAAAATACGTAAAGTGCTATAGAATTTTTATTGTTATAACAATTATCATCTTCATACATGAATTCAAGCATCCATCTAAATGAATTAATATTTGACATTATTTCCTTAAATTTATTAAGCGTAGTAAGCAAATAATAAAAATTACATTCACCAAGATGCATGGTGAAATTACTTTGAAATATTGCATGTTCATCAAACAAAGACCCACTCTTCTGCATTCACTGTGAAAAAAAAATACCCATCAAATTTATATTTTTATTACATATTAGTCAATTAGTATCTCATCATACTGCGAAATGGGGTATAATTTAAACCTGGCAAAAGTATATAATATTACCCTACCCTCTTCCTTTACAAATGATACATTTTTTGAAGAATATGGTGACTAAGAGAGATTATCAGGAATTCATCAAATTATTTTCCTGAAAATATGTAAATTCTTTGTAATATTTTTCTAAATTACATTTTATATCACAAAAGCAAACAGTTATCATCTCCTAAAAACACTGGTTGACCTTTTTTGCACTTGCATTCTAAGAGGATTTTTTTTTCATATCCAAAAAAGACTTTGATTGATTTAGTATTTATATGCCCTTTGGATGAATTATCAATATATGTTGGTCATTTTTGTACAAATATAAACTAGTCTTTATATCTTTGTTTGACAACATAGTATTAAATTCATTTTTCATTAACAATTCTTTGTCCATTCCAAATACAAGAAAACCCAGTGAATATACACAACAAATAAAATAGTAGACCAACAGAATCAAAACCATCTTGCTGCAACTGATTATCCTGTATACACCATTAAAGCTCAGGCTTGGATTTCTCGAAAAAATCTTAAGTTTTTACTCAAGTTCAATCTCAAATCCTGAGAAAAAACTCAGCTAAGATTTTTCTCAAATCGCGTTTCTCGAAACAAACTCAGTCAATTCTCAGCTAAGTTTATTTTTTTTTCTCAACTGAGTTTTTTCAACGTCACATAAGCGGCCTTACTCCTTGCTTCCGGTTATAGTATCCAATGTAAATAATCGTCTGCTACGGCAATCTAGGCCTATATTATGGAAGTGAAAGTTCCAAAGACACCCCGTCGGCCAAATTGGACCGAGAAGGTTTTGGTTGAGGCGGTCCGACAACGCGAGGACCGCCTCTTCGGAAAAATGAAAGGGTCGGGGGGTGTCAAAAATGTGAAACTCAAAGAGGGGGCGTGGGAGGAGGTAGCAGAGGCGGTGAATGCGTAAGTACCATTTGCAGTATATTTTATAATCATGAACACGTACATATTATGCCTTATTATGCATAATTGATAAGTATTACTATTGTTTTAATAGAAAACGAGTGCCTCGTGTGTGTGTGTTGTTTTGTTTTAAGAATTAGAGTTATTCCTCTTATTTGCTATAATAAGTTTTCAGACGTATCAAGGGGAATTCCAAGTTCTTGAGACAACAAACGGACATTTAAAAAGTTCAGTCATTTTAAAATTGCTATATATCTAGGAATATGCTTGGGTAGAGAGGATGTGTAGCATAATTATAGGCCTACATTGTTTTCTGTATTATTTAAAAAAATACACAATGATTTAATATGACAAGTCAGCGGATACACTTCTCTATGTACACGGAGGCAATGCGGGTTGACAACTAGATTGTCCACCGAATGCAAAGGGCAGGGACCAGACACGTAGATTGGCATAATGGTTATAAACATGAAAGTTAACATTCGTGAGCATCAATCTACAGAAGTCTTTTCCCTAGCAAAATTCAGAAAGTACTCGTACATTTTGTACATCTATTATATATTTATACAGTGCTGTATAGTGAGAGTTACCCCTCTTTATTTTTACTAAATTCAGATTATAGACTAGTAAAGTTAAAATTTCTATAATTTTTTTCTTTATTTAATAGAATAAACGCATTTGAAATGAAATAAAAACTGCCTATTTAAAGTTCAATCTTGTTTCAAGCTCGGTGTCATTTGCATTTGTTTTAAAATACTGGAAATAGGTACCCTTGTATATATCATTTTTGAAAGCTTGTTGTGGAAAATACCTTGACAAATAAAATATTATAAATTGATTACAGACAGTCCGATACAGTTGAAAGAACTGTTGAAGAAGTCCGGAAGCAATATGCAAACATCAAACAAAGAGGTACAGTATTTAGAATTTTATTAATCAATTATTAAGGTCTTCCGTCTTCACGGAAGACCTTATAGTGATTCTACTGTTTCTTATTATTATTATTAAGGTCTTCCGTCTCCAACGGAAGACCTTGTTTTCGTTCGGTTTCTTTTTCCCTATTATTAAGGTCTTCCGTCTCCAACGGAAGACCTTATTGTTTTCGTTCGGTTTCTTTTTCCCTATTATTATTATTATTAGGGTCTTCCGAGCTTCCTTCGGAAGACCCTTCTGTTATTCTACTGTTTCTTATTATTATTTTTTTTTCCCGCCGATTTTCAGCAGGCGATTTCTCGGAGACCTTTTGTCCGATTGCGATGAAACTTTCAGGGTAGATACAATGTATTATTGCCTAAAAACGGTTTTTTCAAATTTTTGATATATACCTCCGTTCATGAGTTATTGCCCTTTAATCGATATTTGGAGGGTCTCTTGTCCAGTAGAAATCTCAATAACGACACATGATATTTGCCTGAAAATTGGAGAACTTGTAACTAATACATTGCAGATGAGCAGAACATTAAAATTGTGGGCTAATTTTTTTAAGTTCGGAAGCTATGTGACGGCAAGTTTTAAGAATTATTTTTCCATGAAATTTTGCTGCTTTTTGTTTAATAACTTTTAAACTGATAAAAATTTGGTAAGACATATAGAATAAAAGTTGTGTGTAATTGCGAGAGCTTTCAGATAACATCAAGAAAAAGGGGCTGGTCCCTATATTCAGGGGACAGCAGGTCATAAAAGTATTTTTTGGATAGCTAAAAATATTAAAATATTATGAAAAAGTTTGAATGACATAATTTCTAACATATTAAATCTTGTCATGTGGTATAAAGAGAAACAAGCTCCGTGCTATATTTTATTCTATTTTATATAATAATTATTCGAGAATCGTACAGGAACAAGTTGTCTACAAACCAGCCACGCCTTTTAGGGCATCATAACATATGCTTGTTCGGTTTTAGATAGTTGTTGTGTTTTAAATAAATTGTTTTGATTCGATTTCTCTGTTTTCTATTATTTAAATCGTTTATAAATGCAAGTTATTTACACAAGTAAAGGCAAATCAACATTTACTTATGCATCCGTATAGAAAAAGTCTTAATCGGGGCCTCTTGTTTGTAACCTGGATGTAAACAATCACGAGCGGCATTGTGGGAAGAAGACACTATAGACCCGATTTACGAAAAACGTGATTTGATCTGATGCTTTGTTGGCAAATATTTCAAAAAAAAGTGTAGTTTAGTATAGCACAATGCTTCATAATCAATAATTTTTAAAAAATAAATCATGTATAACACTCAATCTGATTATTTTATTTTTTGAAAAATCATCAGGTCGAATATCAGGTCTTTAGTATATCAAGTATTTAGTACGTCCCCGGAAGTAGCCATGCAATTCGGAATTACAGACAGAAAGTGAGAAAATATGTGAAGTTGACAGTTGAGTTGTACATTTTCTTAACGTACGAGCCGTATGTAGACATGCACATTTAATCCACATCTACGAAGCACATAAAATCCTTGGTTGCGTACAGGGAGCATTAGTTTTAAAGGGATATATATATTCTTGCGCAAATTGTTTAAGAGGAAATTCTGACGATCACATTAACAGCGATGAACACGTCTTGTGTCGGAGTTTTCTGTGATAAATGTAGCGAGTGATGAAAGAGTTCACGGTGACATTTTAATATATGATTGGCGTGGACCTTGGAAATGAAGGTTAGAATTTTTCTTATCTAAAAATTAACAGCTGCTTACAGCACTGATGTTTACATGTATATGTCAGCAAATGTATAAATGTACGCACAAACACTGATGTTTGTTATCTGTTTCATGGTTCAGTCTCTGTCTGTTAGCCCTGACATGACATTGTCAAATCCCCATTGCTTTACCTTTTATTTAAATGCATGAGAGCATGTAATTTCACCAAGATTTATTTTTTTTTGATTGAAACAAAAAAATGCAAAAATTCAACAATACACTATCTAACATACTACATGTATAAACATGATAATTATTGTTATATATTCTTCAACAAGTATGAATAGCTGTTATAACTAGGGCCTTAATTAATATTATAATTTGTTATACCTTTAAAAATTTGTTCCTATATAAACATAAATCTATACCAGTGTACACTTAAAATGTCTAACATTTCCAATGTTTTATGAGCAGTCATAAAAAAATCAATGTTGAACCGCAAAGTGAGATATTGAACCTGTCGATGAGATCATTGGACCTCTTACATATTACAGTTTGCGCGGGATTAGTTACATCTCATTTGCATTCGTTGGTGTTCGACAGTTACGGAATTGACGGAGTTTTACCTCAGTGCTGGTAAAGGAAATTTACATCACGGAAGCCAGTACAAAATACATGTATGTCAAACAAAAAAAGAAAATAAAAGATATAACAAAACATTTATTGACCGTGTTCTCAGGGTAAAATGCAATTTGCTGACCCCTTGAACCAAACTGTTTCCCTTCGGCCTAATGGCCTCAGGCAAACAGTTTGGTTCTTGGGTCCGACAAAACACATGTTGCCCTCGAACCCAGTTAGTAAATGTGTATTATTATTGGTAAATCTAAAAAATGTCACTCAGTTAAATTGCAAAAGAAATATGGAAATATATTTACACATAAAAGTTTGAATTATTTCTGTGATAAGACTCCAGGATTGGTTTGTGTTTTGTTTATTGCCTCTTCAATTTTTTTTTAGTCATATTATTATGCCACCACTTGCTGGTGGAGGTCTGCAAATACAGACCTGTACTTGACACTTATGGCCTTTGGGAAGTGAGGGATCTTTTTCGTGCCAGCACCTTCTGTGACACAGAACCTCGGTTTATACGGTTTCATCCGAGGAACCTATCTTCACATCCAGCTGTGGGATTCGAACCTGCGACGTAAGGATCAGCTTCTTACTGACACTTTGATTGATTGTATGTTGTTTTACATCTTACTTGAGAATTTTTCTCTCGTATAGAGACATTACCACATACTGGTGAAGGGCTTCAAACATAGACCTTAATACTTGGCACTAAGGCCCATTGAGCAGTGAGGGTTCTTTATTGTCCCAACATCTACTGTGAGGTTTTTAAGGTCTCATCTGAAAAGCCTTTGACTTTCACTTCTAATGCTGGGTGCTTGGTAAAGGAACCTTCACTACCTATATGTTTATGTTTTAGGTTTGACACAGCAAATGAGAATCAAGCCCAGGCCTCCTGATTACAAAATGAATGCCCTACAACTAGGCTACCATTACAGATAATGAACTAGATTAATTACCATGTAAAACATTGTTTAGTAAAAAATTTGTTCTTGAAATTAGAAAATACAATTTTTTCATGATTGGGGTATGTAAACTTAGAGTGGTATTTGGGTTATACAGTAAAACACGCTTACTGCGAACAGACTTAAACAAGGAATTGAAGCGTATAGTGAAGTGATTTTCATTCCCTGTGGTTTTAAAACATACTGAAAACTAAACTGAAAAATGAATACATGTATAATGAATCAAAATTATTTGTCCTGGCACTTATAAGCATGTGTTACTGTAAAGACAAAATAATGGGGATTTGTTTTCACAGTGGCTGTATATTGTGAATAATTTAATTAGTCGATTGCAACTTTTCAGCTTTAAACTAATCTCGTTCAAGCAGATGCTTGTCTGTCTCCGTAAACTCCAATGAGCAGGAGTTTATGGAGACAGTTGAGCATCTGCTTGAATGAGACTAGTTTTACACATGCTATCTACATGATCTAAGTGGTAATTTTTAAAAAAAAAATATGTATACTGGTATATTATTTAAAAAGTACATATTATACAAAAAATACTGACTAACCGGTTATGAAAATCATAACCCGTCATCCCATACTAAACTGGTTACTATATTTCTGACTGATTAGATGGTTACCAAGTTGACCATTGCCATCCCTAATAAATTTTTTACATGTACAAGTTGTGTGCATTTCCTTTGTGAAATCATGAAAAAAAAAAACTCCTAATTAATCCCTATATTTATTTTTTTTTTTTGTTACATCCTCAAAATTGACTGCATGTAAACATCTATTTAATAGAGTACTTTTTACAAATAATACATGGAAAATGTGACAGTATCTTTGAACTCTGTTTGATGGTTTCATTAGGGATGTCGATGAATATTCGAGTACTCAACTATCATTCAATCATATTGACTATTGACTAAAATTTGTTAAATCGGTTGTTCATTTAAAATTTGCTACTCTTAAATTCAATGTAAAAAAAAAAATTGGATCTGCTCAGTTCATTTATTAACGTATCCTGTTTGATGTGATATTTTATGTAGAAAAATGATTAGAATAATTATGGGACACATTTGCAGTGTAGCAGAGTGCTTGCTGAAAAAAGTGATGTGCAACATGTAGGTGTCACTATGATGCTTATCATTTAGAGAGTTGTAAATGCGAAACTAAGACACGTGGTCAGTTGAAGAGGAAATTCAGCTGAAAAGCAGTAGGCCTTAGAAGAAGGTGTGTATCTCAGAAGGAAGGTGAACCAGGCCCCATATCAATTGGTGAATTTTCATTAGGGCATGCATTGATTTACAGACTACTGGGTGTTTTATCCTGCTCGCTCGGGCCTGGGGGTGGGTCTGTATGGGTGCGACTGAGGCCCAAATCTTGGGAAAACATGTATTTCACTAAATGTCATTATTTTGAAAGAAAGAATGAGTCTGACTCAGTATGCAAAAGTATCAGTTCACAGAACCACATCTATTCAAAGATTGCTGTGCTTTAATTTTTTTTCAAATTAGACCCATTTTACTATTGATGATTACATAAAAAAAATAACCCCCCCCACCCTTCATTTTCCCCCTCATTTGTCTTCCATAATGTGATAGAACTTAAACTTTTCATTATTTTCTTATAGATTGTATATTTTTCTTTAAATTAAAACAGATGATCTTTTTGCATGTTTAATAAAAAAAAA